GAATATTGGACAACCCCCACATGGGAATTGATCTAAAGGTTCCTTCGCGGAACTTATTTTGCGTTCCTGTGGGTCTATTAGATAAAAGCATCCGAAAATAGTTTTTTGCTTCGTAATGGCCACGTGAGGAAAAGGAATTTTCATCTACTACCATGTGTCGTCCTGTTGTGATGCGATCTGAGGGTTCATCAGCATGTCAGGATTACAGAGTGCGGGGGTTGGGAATCAGAGCTTCGAGTTTAAGTTTAGCTGTTATAACTTTTTGAGTCCGATTAGAGTTCCGCATTCCAAGGCCTAAATGAAGTTAGGATGTCCCGGAGTGGCCGCTGTTTCAGGAATACATTCCACAAGTGCTCGCGGCTGTCTTGATGATGAGCATGCCGGTGACAGCAATGATGGCGCTTTGAAGGAGTCTGTTGTTCCAGTCCTCTCCTCGAACACATCAGGCTTGTGCCCGTAAGGTTTGCTTCTTTGGGTTTAGGTTTGCTTCTTTGGGTTTATTGTACCAAAAGCCCAAGTTAGCGGTTCCATAGCTTAAGGATGCAAACCGACAGGCTACAAACCCTCAGGGTACAAAGGACAACTCCCTGACCTCCCTGCCCCTCAACCCTAAACCCTAAACGCAGGCATCCGCGTTCTTGACACACTTCGAATCGAGACGACTCCAGAGTTCCCTTCTGCGCCCCTCTTCCCGTGGGACCCGGGCAATGTCCAGATTCACAAGAGCAACCCTAACGGTTCAGTATAGGATTCAAAAGGCTCCTTTATATCACTGATGCTTACTCAGGTTTCTGGGTATGATGAGTGTATACTTTGGACCCTTAGGACTGTGACAGAGTAAGTTTAGTGCAGGCTTCAGGGTTCGGGGTGTGTCGAAGGGTGGTTGCCATCGTGTAACAATAAAGGTGGATAAAGGTGGAACCTTACCTGGGGAAACAGCAACCAGTCCAGAAGGGCCAATTGTCAGATTCCTTGTTTGTGCAGGTGGCGCCGCGAGTCACTGCAGCGTAGCCAGAAAGAGATGCAATACATTCTGCAGCGTGTCATGCTCAGCTCACAGACAGTCACCGCCCCGACTCCCGGATATCCATTATCTGTCCATTTGGTTCTCCATCATGCTAGTGCTAAAGTCGAAAGTTCTTGTATCCCTAGACCTAGAGGCCCTTCAGCAGGACCCACGGTGGATTGAGGAACCTTGTGCCACCGTGTTGCTGAATTTCTGTAAACCTTCGCACCTCTATGAGGGCTGTGGAGTGGTGCAGGGTTTACTTCAGCAATAGCCTTTTCTGATAGTTTAGGCACCTACCCCAATAGTCCCATTTTGGCTAGAATATCACAACTCCCCAGCTTGAAACCACAGCCAACACCAAACGGAACTACAGAGGAGCCCCTGAATACAGCCAGGACACGCAGATGTTTGCGGAAGATGGTTCGCTTTATATGCGAGGTGGGGGGTGGCCGAGTCAGGGTTTAGGGTTTAGGATTTGGTGTTTGATACAGCAAAAAAGGCTAGGGGTTGGGTTTTAGGATTTGAGGTTTAAAGTCTAGGGCTTGGGGCTTAGGTTTTAGCATCTATTTTCTTGTTTAAGTGCCCTACGTATTGGAGGCCGTATTAGAATAGGGGGTATACTTTACACAACTTTCTCAAAGAAAATTGTTCTCCAAGAAGGTGTGCCTTAAGCCCATCTGAAAAGGCATATGCAGGAATATGTCTTTTCAGAATCAAGGGCTTGGGTGAGGCCTCATGTGTTCTTAGGACTGGGGCACCTTTTTGAAGCGAGGGTCGCAATGGACTGAGGAGCTGCCTGTTGGCGATTGTATAGGCTTACCCAAGGGCTCTTATGTAGTTCCTTTTTGGGTTTGTTATGTTTTTTTGGTAAGGGATTACAATATACTACCCAAAAAGGAACTACAGGTAGGCTAGCCCCTAGGGTTTGCAGTCTAGGGCTTGCTTTGAGACATCGCCTGTATGAGGATCACATGTTATAGGGAGTTATAAGAGAAGATGCTGAGAATCACCCTGCACTTACAGCTCAAAACCTTACCCTAGAAGCCCAGGTACCCATATAGTAGGTTCTTGGGTTATAGGTAGTATAGGTTTATATAGGGACCCAAGGACATGAACCCAATATCTAGGTTACTGGGCTTCTAACCTTATGCAGCATTTTAGTCCCCCCAAAAACTCAGGTGGTGTCAAGGTATAGATCTTCATGGTGACCTTTTCAGGGGGCTCTAGGATTGTTGCGGTGCCTATCTGATGGCGGTCATGGATGGTTAGGACTGAGCCTCAGCTGTTGCACATTCTTTGACATCAGTCTTCGTCCATCGGCAGTTGCTTTTATGTGTTGTAGTGGTGTTTGTGTGTGCACCGTGTGGGTAGTGTGCATTGTGTGCATATACTGCCTGATGAACCTAGGTGTGGGTTTGCAGATCATATCCATTGGCGACTGGCTTTTCTCATGCTCCTAAGCACGCTGCCCGGCAACTCAACTGGCTCTCTTACGGTCACTTCCCCAGGTTTCATCCAGTATGATGCTAATCGGAACTGCCTCCATTCTATGTTTCAGCATTGATGTTGCTTTCATCTTCTTGGCAGCCCTTAAGGCCTTAAGGATCCAAGAACCCAAATAGTGGATTTTTAGGGCACAAGTACCATGATATCAATGGTATTTTGGCCCCCCAACCCTACTATTTGGTCCTTGGAACCTTAAGGATCTACATGAGCCGCTCATGTTGCAAGCTACCTGTTTTCATCTTTAGGGTGATGTCGCTAGAAGGCTAGGTATCCGCGGGGAAGCTTCTTCCCCCACATTGTTTAGGGTGTTGAGGCTTCATGTGCTTTCCCGAGTGCTGCCCAGAAAGACTCCAGAATATTTTTTTCGCGTAGGATATCATAAGCCGTTGCCTACCAGGAGCCCATACCACACCCCAAAAGTAACTTGAACCGCATAGGACACCTGGGGAAACAGTCCTTATCAAGCCGCTATACAGACCCAAGTTCTACTTGATTTCCCATTCCATTTTCCATGATCAGGAAGGTACCCTAAACCCTAAAC